TACTGCCCTCTGGTGGAGGATCTACAGGTGGCAACAAAAAGTGCAAGACTATGTCTCATTTCCTTCAGAAGTTAAGCATTATTCTATTTGCTAGTTTGTTGCCCCCATCCACACTGAGGTGACATGCGCTGCTTATCGTGGCTGCAGGAACTGAAGTAGGGATAGTCCCAACCCACCACCCACCTAGTGGACACTTATGTTGTGTTGTCTGAAGTCTGTTGCATATCAGTCTGAGGTGTTTTTTTGCAGAGCAAAGCTGCCCTCCTGGTGGGATGGTAACTCTGAAGTGCCTTTTTTCCCCTCCACCTGAACCAATCCTCATGTAACCCTCTTATCTCTATTAAGGTAGCGCGACTTAAGGTTGTGAATGACCACAGTCACCAATTCTTGTCATGTGTCTTGCCCATGTATGTCTGATCTCTGAATTGTGTGTACTGAAACTCTAATTTCCCTCTGGGATTAATAAAGGATTGATTGATTGATTGAAATCCTCCCGAAGTTGTCTTGGTGTTTTACTCTCTAATCCGGTCTTTTCACCGGATGCATAATCGGCGCCTAACGTTTTCCTCCCACGTCCCTTCCCCCAGGACCATTCCAGACACGAAACAGCAGCAAAAGCGTTCCACACAGCTGGAGAACAGCAAGAGCATGTGTGATTTTAGCAGTTCACAAGATAATAAGCAAAGAGAAAGATGGCGGCATGTTTCCCAAAAGGTCTGTGGTTTGTTTTCTGTTCTGTTTACCTCAGCTATTGAACTTGGTCTTTTAGAAAATTCAACAAAAGCAGTTCAATGAAGCACAAAGATGCGGCTTAAATCAGAAAGAGCAGCTAATGTCTGACATGGAAAGGTATTTAAATAATAAACAACATTGTAGGGCTGCGTTGTCGACAACTAGACAATAGAAATAGTCGACGATTGTCGCCAGACGTGTTTTTTCTGACCGAGTGAGGCATCTCACTTCATTACAATCTCTGCCGAGAGTCGCACATGTGCAATAGCTTCTCTGCTGAGCACCAACTAACAGAATTGGCGGTGTCGGTACAGGATCTGCTCGGGTGCAAGGTCGGCTCGGGGTCCTTCGACTGCCAATGACGTCAAAGTACGGTAAACCCACTCGGACAAAATACACTACACATCTATACTGTTGGAAAGAATTTAGCAGTTTCGTTATAAAATAATGTTTCTTAGGACGTAAGTTTGTGTTTATAATGGTATTTGTAAAATAAAACACTATATTGTATTAATAATGTTGAACTCCTCTTTGAGCACATCCCTTGAAGGATCATATGTATTAGCAACACCTGTGAAATTGTATTTGCAGGAAAGAAGTGTGTCCCGTTTATTGAAGTATTTTGTGTTTAGAGTTTTTGACATCTTGTCCATGAGTAGTTCAGGTACGCTCATAGCTGCTAGCCAAAACTCTGGAGTTAAAGTTTTCTGGCTTTACTAAAATACCTGCCTGTACTTATTTGATTGATGGTAGTTTAATTTTCTATTAGACTCCAAATGTAATCATTTGGCATGTTTCTAATTAATAATTTGTAAGAATGTAATCGGTGATATTGGCATTAGCATTCTATGGGTTTTCCCATGTATGTTAGCTTAGCGCTAACCACTCACTGGCAAATTGCAGCATTTGCGATTAGAAAATCTCCTTTTGTCACATCTCAATTTAATTGCACATGAAACTAATCGTTCAGCCCTAATATACATGCAGCTCTATGTTAAAAGTGTATTTTCAAAGAGGTAATGATGGATTTCTTTGTAAAAGTTGTCCATCTTTCCAACACAAAGATTTGCCTGGACCAACGTAACGTGATTACATAATTTCCGTAAGGTTCATGTTCAGCCAATCAACTACTTTGACGTCATCAGCAGCCGAAGGACCCCGGGCCGATCTTGCACCCGAGCCGATCCTGTACCGACAGCGGCGTCCGACACAGCAGCTACGCGTAACAAAACATCTAACGTTTGGGAGCATTCTAGCCTGGATTCGGCGAATAAAAAGTTTACCTGCATTATTTGCAAAGCAGTCCTCACGTATCACGGCAGCACCTCAGTGATGGATGAACACTTTAAGAGAAAGCACGTCGGACAGTTCAATGAAACATAGTCAGACTCGCCTCGGTAAGATTTAAATAACACGTTTTGTTTTGGATGTACGTTTTTTAAACATATTTTCGCTTAAAAAAAGAGATTTAATGTTATGCCCGACTGTGCCTGATGAAGGTGTTTTAATTTTATTTATGCAGTCATGTCTGTACTGACTGAGCACTGTGCCTAATTGGTGTAAAGGTTGGTTTATGCTTGACGCGTCCGCGAGGTCCGCACGGCTCCACGCGGCAAAATTGTGTCATTTTAACAATCACGCCCTTCCACCGCGCCTCCGCATGGCCCAAAATTTCCACACCACGCACCTAGGAAATTTTTTAACCACGCCTACGGTCGGACGCGGAAAGACATGGCGGACTGGCAAGAACTAGTATGGCAGAGGTTCGTAAATACAGACATTTGTATGATTCAGCTCTCAGAGACCGCCGTGATCAACATGTTGTTAATAATTCTTGGAGAGAAATAGCTCGCACTGTCGGAAAAGACGAGCACGCTGTTAAAAAATGCTGGAATGCCATGTTGTAAACAACAGTAATTTTTACTACTACTATGGTGTAGTGTTGGATGCATGCCGTAGAGCTCCATGCTGCCCCCTTCAGTTTGGGAGAATATTGGCTCACCGCAGAGACAAGCCTCATGAACCATAAACGCAGCAAGTTGTGAAGCACGTTCCATCAGCGAGCCACATCACCAAGCGGAAGGTGAACACGTCAAGCATAAACCAAGCTTTAGACAGGGTATTTTTATTTACTTTTAGTATGAATTGGCCCATCAGCAGCAAAGTTCAATAAAATATGCATTTTCCATTGAAGTACCCATCTTTCTTGTGGTTATTGTCATTTTTCACATAATTAAAGCAATCTCATGCTAAATTAAAGAAAAATTTAATAATTATCCTATTAGCCGACTAATCGCTTCAATAGTCGGTGACTAGTCAACTATTAAAATAGCAGTTATTTGCACTAAAGTGGTAAAGTCACACCTGAAAGGCTGCGCCTCAGGACGACTAAAGAACCTCCAAAGGAGGAGAGTGTGAAAACTTTCAATCGCTGCCTTTTGAGTGGAGTTTGCAGCCAGTAATCAGGTTTTATTCTCTGTAATCTTATTATAGTTGTTGTAAAACAAACAGGTCCAGCCAAGTGCTAACACCCCCCCCCATGTTATTAGTGGAGTCCACATGCAGCGTCAGCCATTTGTTTTCTCCTCCGATCGTTTTTGTCATATCTCCTTATCTGTTGCTTTCGTTCATTTCTTCCCCCATCTCCGGTTTCTTTCAGTGAGGCCATAATATAAAGCATGTGGAAAAGACAACCCTTTACTTGACAACAGTTGCTAGGGCGGCTCAGGAAGCTCCTTCTAGCAGCCACGCTGGCACACACGCTTCACCCAGCTGCTGCAGGACTCTAAAAGTTTAGAAAGCCCTCCCTTTTGTCAGCTTTGGTTTGAAAACCAGGCTGGATCAGATACAAACAGAAAGAGAAATTATGCTTCAGCAGTATTCCTGCACAAACTAATTATAGTCTGATGAACTACAGAACGTTGACCTCCGAAGTGGTCTTTCCCAACATATTCCCAGCTCCTGTGACTCCTCACATCTTTATTAACAACACACAAACCTTAAAGTTATGCAGTGACTCATCTGAGCCCAAAAGAGCTTATTTTGCTTTGCTTTGGTGCAGGAATTAGCCTGATATGAGCATGAATAAACACAAAGCAGACAGGACATCACTGGTTAGCATGGCATGGGAATAAAGGCTCGCTGCCAGTCGAGGGTGAAGAACGCAGGTCAGAAGTGAATTTCTCAGAAGTTGAAAGAGTTTCCTGCACCAACTTCAGACTCAGAAGTGTGGGAAGATGTCGGCCGGATGCCAAGCAGCTATTTGTGTGCCTGTGCAGTTTAGAATCGCAGCACACTGGGTTTGCTGTGATATTTTCAGTATTCTGACCACAGTAATTTACTTTAAGACATTTTAGGTCTGATAAATATAAAGAAATCTTCCACAGAATTTTCCAGCGGATTTATTTTAGAAGAAAAAAATGTTTGCGTCGAAGGGAAAGCGACTTTGGTGCTTCTTTTTCTTTGTATATGCTCCCCTTAAGCTCTGTTTTTGAGAAGTACAAAATTACTTTTCACTGTTTCGCTGATGATCTTCAGATCTATTTGCCACTTAGTGATGCCAGGTCAATTGGCTCATTACTGGAATGCTTAAAAAGCATCAAACAATGGATGTCCATGAATTTTATTAAGCTCAACAATCAAAAAACTGAAATTTTACTATTTGGCAGTTCTAATCTTTTAAACAACGCTGTTAGTCCTCTTGGTCCTTGTTCTGGTTTTCTAAAAGCCTGTGTTAAAAAACCTTGGTGTGTTTTTAGACGGTTCTTTTAATCTTCACAGACAGGTGAGTGCAGTGGTCCAATCAGGGTTTTGTCATCTAAGGCAGATAGCGAAGGTAAAGCCACACCTTCCTGCTAATGTCCTCGAATGTGTCATTCATCTGTTCGTTTCCTGCCGATCGGACTACTGCAACTCCCTGTATTCTGGCCTGGACCAGTCCTCGATCACATAACCCCGGTTCTGACCTCTCTCCATTGGCTTCCTGTCTCTTACAGGATCCAGTTCAAAATTTTACTTTTAGTTTTTAAATCCCTTCATGGCCTGGCCCCAGTTTACATCTCTGAGCTGCTGTCCGCTTACGTCCCTGCCAGAACCATGAGGTCCAGCTCTCAAGCTCTTTTAAAAGTTCCAAAAACCCGCCACAAGACTCGCGGCGACAGAGCGTTCTCTGTGGTTGGTCCCAAACTGTGGAACAAGCTACCTCTCAACATTAGGGCCACACAGAATCTAGAACATTTTAAATCCCTTCTCAAGACGCTTTTTTTGAAATTTGGCTTTTAATCCAGGTTGACTTGAGCATCTTAATAGTTTTTAACAGTTTTTATTACAGATTGTGACTGTTGTGTGCTCATCTTATTTTAGGTTTTTATTGTTGATCTGTTGTATCTTGTGTTGTTTCATCTTGTACAGCGCTTTGTTGTAGCTTTGCTGCTGTAAATGCACTCTGTAAATAAAACTGACCTTGACCTTCTGTGATTTACTCTTGCTATGACAGTTGGTGGAAAAATGAAAGATGATGAAGAGAAGGAATACGCTTGTTGTGTGGTGCTTGCATTGTTCTACACATAAAAACAGAATGGTAACGTTAGCGCCTTCCCAGCTGAAACATTTGCTGGTGTTACATTTATTTATATAGTAGTAGTTTTTTTTATTTAAGCTAACCCCAAATCTGATCACAAGGGAGGTTGGGGTTAAAGTTCCACCAGCTCATTATTCTGGATTTGAGCAACACGATGAGTACAAGGAGAATCAACAAAAATCAAAAATCAAAAATTGTATTGTCACTGGATGCTTCATTTTTTTTCGCTGGTTTTGACGTCTTTACTCTCTGACACCAATTTGCCGTCCACAAAAGTCTGACTGACTATCTCCACTTTGGTCTGGGCCGTCTTCTTATCCACAGCATCTTCCAGTCTGTAAATAAAACAGGTGTGAAGCAAAATTCAGTCGTGGTTTACAAAATAAAATGGAAAATTCAGGGATTTTTAGACAGCTTTGGGATAACCACCTGTTGAAATTCAGCAGCTGTATTTCCTCTTTAAATTTTCATATCAAAGCTACTCCATCTTTGCATGGAGCTTATTTGAATTAAATATGCAAATTCCCGTCTGTCTGAGCTTTTTTCCATACTGTTTCTTCTATACTCACTTTAAATCTGCTCCACCGTCCAGCAGCCTCCTGTACTCGGCGATCTCGGCCTCCAGTTTCACCTTGATGTTCAGCAGAAGCTCGTACTCTCTTGTGTTTTGCTGGATGTCCGCGCGGATCTGAGTCAGCTCATCCTGAAACCTCAGGATGATGGCGTTGTACCTTTCCAACTCTATGTTGTAGCGCATCTCCAGGTCGCGCAGGGTGGCCTCCAGGGATGCTTTCTGTTGAGCAGTGACATAAAATACGTGATGAGTTTTGCTCGTTTGTTTGGGGTTTCAACAAGCAAATAGGAAGCTGCAGTTAGCGTCAAAGCTTAGCATAGCATTAAAAATGGCCCCACAAGGGTCTTTGTCTTTGAAAGCAAAAAAATAAAAAATGAATAAATAAACACTTTCTAAGTTGTTGTTACAAGTTTTTTAAACCATATTGTTAAATAGTCCAACATTGAGATTGTTTTGCTTTCCTTTGAGCTATTAGAAAGTCAGTCACAATCTAATCCTTACATTTAGATCCCAAATTGTGCAGATTAAGGATTTCTTCTGCTAGCTGCAATTCATATTTAAAGGGACATTACGGACTTTTGAATTTTTATGCTCACAATTGCCCCCTCAGGCCAAAAGTGTAACGGCAGCTTCAATCGTAGGCTCATGCACGAGGTGCGAATGCTGTACGTGCACACTCCTTAACGAAAATAACAGCTGAGACAGTCCCGTGTGTGTGTGTGTGTGTGTGTGTGTGTGTGTGTGTGTGTGTGTGTGTGTGTGTGGGTGGGTGTGTGGGTGGGTGGCCTGGAGGACAGAGGACAGGAGAACGTGCAGCTAATTAATTAAATAATTTGGTTCTGTACTTTTCTCTTCAGCACAGCCATCAAAGGTTTATGATGGGTCAGTCCTCCTGCATGCTCAGATCATTCCCTTCCCTTGCTTGAAAAATTGCTCCAAAATGAAAGTTGAACCCACATCTTTTTTATCCGTGAATTCAATCCGAGTCTCAAATAAAAATTTCGGCATCTTACTGTAAAACAATATTCCATTAAAGTAAAAAAGAAACTCTAAATAAACTATGTTCGAACCCAGGATTCCTGCATGAGAGTCAGACATCTTATAAGGTGAGCTACACTCCAGTAACATTCAAAGTATCTGTAACTTTTATATCCTTGATGACAGCTGAAACAACGTCAAACCAAAGAACGGTTCGGAGCGAAAATGGCTATTTTGTTGCTAATTTGCAGGAAATATCTAGAAGAAAGTTCTACAGAAAGTAGCTAAGGGTCCTCAGAAATGTAGCTAGCTTTGTCACTAGGCGTTAGGAACAGCGACAAAGTGGCACTGCCTCTCTCTCTGCTGCTAAAGCTACGGATAGCAAATGCTACGGGCTATGCCTGAGCGTGAACGCGCATGAAGCAGCCTGCTCGACCCGAGCATCTCTCTTTTTCTGTGATTTTACAGAAAAACAGGCAATCACAGTAAAAATGCCAGGGCTCATTCTACAGGACCAGGGCATTGCAGGAGAATGTATGAAGAAGAAATTTATTATTTCTATACAGTTTTGGCTGTCAAACTTCCATAATGTCCCTTTAAGTGCTTTGCCACTACAAAAGTTTGATTAAAGAAATTGCTAACTTCTTTTTACCAAACTGAGAGCAGATTGAAGTTCAATGTCCAGCGCCTGATGCTTCCTTCTGGTTTCACTCATCACAGTCGTAGCTTCCTTCAGTGCTGATGAGCTCTCAGTAACTTGGACCTGCACCTCTGTGATCTGAAAACAAGACAAGAAGCCATGATGCCCTTGAAAATGGCATGAACAGTCAAATAAAAATAGAAAAAATCTGTTCTGCATAAAGTTTGTTGCAGACTGAATTCTGCAGTACCTGAGATTCGTGCCACACTTTCAGTTCCTGCTGGTTCTTCAGGGCTATTCTCTCATACTTAGCCCTCATTTCCTCCATGATTTTAGCCAAGTCCTGGCCTTTAGCAGCATCAACGTCCACATGGACGCCAACCTGGGTAATCTGGTCTCGCAAGGCAGCAACATCCTGTGAAGAAGGAAGTAAAGCTAGGGAGTAATTTCCTGCAAGGCTTGATGGGTTTGAGATTAAGGAACAAGCAGAGTGCCAAACTGGTAGATTCCTCGACACTGGAGAGAATAGCACACATCAAATTCTTTCTGCTGGTTTGGGCCAGATTTTTGTCTCACCATTTCGTGGTTCTTCTTCAGGGTGATCAGCTCTTCCTTCAGTGACTCAATGTCACTCTCAAGGTGGAGACGGATAACATTGGTGTCATCCAAAAGCTTCCTCAGTCTGGCAACATCAGCCTCCACAGTCAGCCTCATGGACATCTCATACTCCATCCTGTGAGATAACACCTTCCGTCAGATGGGCTCAAGTTGGGTGGAAGAAAGAGCTTCATTTAGTGAAACACTTACTTGACCCTGAAGTCCTCTGAGGCCAGCTGTGCGTTGTCAAGAGAAATCGCAAGATGGGCGTTTCCTTTGATCATATCAAGAATCTAAAAACATATAAAAGAATTAGTTTAGTGTTATTCTGTGGGATGTTTCCTCGCTGCGTTTTTGTTGGACAGAAAAGTGACCAGGCGATGAAATGATGAATCATCCAGGTGGTGCTGTGTTTGGCCTTTGATGAGCGATAAATGTTTGTTATCTCTGTTACGGCTCAACACGAACACGAGATAAAGGTCGGTCTACCGATGATAAACGTTGGGAAATCATTAATGATAAGTGGGCCTTTTCAGGTGCAAAGGGTATAAAGTGATTCTTCTAGGAATGACTTTTACTCCAACGTTGTTTCATCCTCACAGACCACACACAAAGCCCATTTAAGACAACCGTCATGAAGCAAAATACATATAGAAACTATTAGAATATGTTGTAAACTTTCTGCATAGATAATAATAATAATAATACTAATAATAATAATAATAATACTACATTGAACTTGTAGAGCGCTTTTTAGGACGCTCAAAGATGCTTCCATGAACTCTTACATTCACACACTGCTAGTGATGGTAAGCTACTATGTAGCTACAGCCGCCCTGGGACGGTCTGACAGAGGCGCCATTTGGTGCCGTCGGCCCCTCTGATCACCACCAACACAGGCAAGTTGGGTGAAGTGTCTTGCCCAAGGACACAACAGCAGAATACCCCTGGCGGGAGCTGGAATCAAACCCATGACCCTCCGATCATGAGGCAACCCGTTCTACCACCTGAGCTACTGCTGCCCCTAGCAGAAAAGTCCTGCACGTACGTTTTTTTAAGCTAGCTTTATTTCTGTTCATAAATACTCCAAAGGGTCGACTCAGTTGTCAGAGTAGGAACGGCTTCTTAATTTTCCAGCTGATGGTTCGGTTTTTTTCATCTCAGAGGTCAAGTATCCCTCAATATAGGAAGAATAAATCAGAATTAGTGTTAACGGTGACATATTCTAGACCTTAGATCAGGCTACAGAGATGAAGAAGGAATGGTTGGCTCACCTTGGCCCTCAGATCTGCGATGATGGCATTGTATTTGCTGAAGTCCCTTCCTTCCGTGGGGCCCCTTTTCTCGATGGCTTCTCTGATCTTGATCTCTAGTGTTTTGTTGGCCTTCTCCAGACTCCTCACTGTCTCCAAGTAGCTGCCCAGACGGTCATTCAGGTGCTGCATGGCGATCTTTTCATTGCCAATGGTGAGGTTACCGGAGGTGGCCAAAGATGAGTGGTGGTCAAACCCCCCGCCAAAGCTGCTGCCAACCCGAGAGCCGTAAGAGACAGTGGAGATCCTGGTGCCATGACCCCCTGCCCCTCCGCTGACACTGTGGGCATAGGACCTCTCCACCTGCAGAGGTCTACCAGAGTAACCAGAGTAACCAGAGAAACCAACGGTCTGAGAGCTCTGGCGTCTAATCAAAGGCTCCATGGCAGAAAACGTGTGATCGGAAATCAGAGGTGAGTAATGGAGCGACGGCGTTGGTAGCTGAGAGTGAAAGACAAAGGAGGTGGTTTTGGGGTCTTATATATGACACTGAACACCAACACCTTCCTGCCACTCCTCTGTTATCTATACTTTTATCTTTTTGCTCAGACTTTGGCCTCTCTTGGTAATCTATCTCTTGAAGGCACAAAGGCACACTGTCATATTCATGTTAACAGTGTGCAGTAAAGAAAGGGTTTCTATGGACATGAAGAGCAGTTTGAAGGACAAGGTGGACATGCTTTCCATTCTTCCCACAATGTTATTATGTTCAACTGATTTGTAATGCTTACATAACATTTATATTTAGAGTTTTGATGTAGTAAAACGAACCTTTAGAAAACCCACTCACACGGTGCTATGAGAAGTATCGTCTAACTTAAAATATAATTTTATCTGAGGACCATTTTATAAGCTAAATAATTCTTTCCTCTATCGTAATTTCCTCTAAAACAACACATTCTGTCTTCTGGTTGAAAAGGTAAGCTTGGAGTAGATTGCCACCCATAAGTCAGGGAATCAGGTAGAAATACTTTGAGGTACTTTTTGGTACCAGCATGTTATCTTTTTCAAGGAATGCTCATAAGAGTTTTTGATAAGGCACATTAGAAACCACAACTGTGCAACAGTTTCAAAGACTTTTATGAGTTTAGTTCGTTTGGAAGTGATAGTGCCAACAATACATTTATTGTGTAATTAAACAATCCAATGGGAAACTGAATAAACTCTGAGGTCCAAACTAACCTTCCTGGAATTGTTTCCCATTGGTTTTTGCTCAACAAACCAGAACAATTTCGACCTTTCGATGTGCAAAATCTTACAAGTAAAAGCAAAGATCATCAGCAAACAGTGACGTTCTTTTGTGCAGTCAAGTGTTTCCTTTATATATATATATATATATATATATATATATATATATATATATATATATATATATATATATATATATATATATATATATATATATATATATATATATATATATATATGAAAGATTATATTTTAAAAGAATACACAGTGTTCAAAAGCAAATTTTCTCAGAAAAGGTTTATTGAAATGTCTGATCATCGCAGCGGGCCGAGGGCACTGGAACAAAAGGGAAACTAAGGAAAAGGGGCATTACATATAAAAATTGGCATTTGATTTTTGAAAACCATTACTTTGAAATGCTCTTTGACGAATTTGGCTGAAAAAAAAGTCCTCCGATTTTAATTTGTTGTAAACAACTACAGCTTAACAAACAATGAGATAAATAAATTGTGATGAAATAAATAACAGATGGTTTTGGGTTTGCTGTGGTCTCGTTTTGGTTTAGATCGGCCTCTGCAGCTGCTGGTAAGAGAAAGTCACAGGGAGAAAGAACTGGCTACTTCTTCTCTAGTGTTAGTGTTTACTGTGTTTAAAGGTTCTTGGTTTCTGTGCTGGAGGAGACCACTTTCCCGTCCACCAGGGTCTGTGTGACCGTCATTACTTTGGTCTTCACGGTTTTCTGCTCTTCCAAAGCATCCTGAAGCCTTTAAGAAAAGAAAACCCAGTTAGTTATTAGACATGTTCCACATGATGGTGTTCACAGCACAGCAAGAGTTAATGTTCCTACTCACTTGAAGTCTCCACCATCCAGCAGGCGTCGGTATGTCGCAATCTCGGCCTCCAGCTTCATCTTTATATTCAGCAGGGACTCGTAATCCTGCGTCTGCAGCTGGATGCTGTTACGCAGCTGTGTGAGCTCCGCCTCCAGACCCAGGATGATGGAGTTGAGAGACTCGACCTCCATGTTGTAACGCAGCTCTGTGTCCCTCAGCGTTCCCTCCAGGGAGGCTTTCTGTGAGGATAGGAGAGGGTTAAGTTTTCACCGTGAACCCAGCGATGACAGCGCCATAGCGACGGATCACCAGAGTGTAAAGCCCGTGTCAACAAAATAAACGCAAGCGACCTGAAGTGAGAGTGCTGAGTTGGACATAGCGGTGAGGGAGGATAAGCTTGTGTTGAGGTAAATGAAGTATGTGCTGACTGCGTGCTTCTCACCAGGCTCTTCTGGGACTCCAGTTCAATCTCCAGGGTTTGGAGCTGTCTGCGCAGATCATTCAGCTCTGTGTGGGCGCCCTTCAGGGCCTCTGTGTTCTGGGTCACCTGAGTCTGCACCTCTGTCATCTAAGCACAGGGATCAGAGGAACCGATTTGTTAGACGTTTGAAGAAACACCAGGATATTTTCCACGTGTTGTTTTGGGAATGCTTTACCTGAGATTCGTGCCATGCTTTGAGTTCCTGTTGGTTCTTCTGTGCCATCTTCTCATACTTGGCCCTAATTTCTGCCATGACCTGAGCCAGATCTTGACCTTTAGGTGCGTCGACGTCTACGTGAACGCCGGACTGGGAAATCTGGTTTCGAAGCTCCATAACCTCCTAAAGAAAAATGGACAGAAGCAGAAAGAACAGTGAAGCTTTGCTTCAAGTTCTCATCAGTAAATCAGCATTTATTTAAAACAGAATGTATTCTGCCACTGAAGTCTCCTCTTACTGACCTACGACCCAGCTTTGACCTTTAGCCTCCTCCAGCCATAACCACACACACGGTAAGGTAAATACAGAGGACTCCTCTAACTCTCTGACTGGGACCTAAATGTTTAATTTAACACTCTCCTCAGTAAACAAATGGTTGTGTTTTGGCCTTATGCATGCAAATCACAATCATTTTAATTCTGCGGTGCAGTTCTGTTGCCAAGTTTGAACTGTGATGAGTTTTAAGATGAGGTTTTCCACAGAATTCACTTAAATATTAAGGATTTCTGAAGAGACCTACTCGTGCAGTTTTCTCACGCCTGTTTTTTAAGAACGCCCTGATGCAACATCGCTGTGTTATTTAAAGAGCAAGTCACCCCCTACCAGAGTAGTACTTCTCTCCCACTTCCTGTTTGAAAAATGCAACAAATGCTGTTGCCTAGCAGATTGAGAGGGCGGAGCCGCTGACAAATACACACACACACACACACACACAGGCTCTCAACAACACTGTGACATCACATCGTACCAGCTAACGTTCTAGGGTACCTTTTAGCCAACAGCAATGGCAGATTTAAATTCAAATGCAGTGCAGAGTTTTTACCTGACAACGGCACAACACTGACAGTTTTAGGCAGAAAATTAAAATTTTAACTAAAATGCACTAAAGTGCAAAACTATTGACTACCCGTGTCTGCAGTATGATTAGACACTCATTTATGTAGTTTATCAGAAAAAAAGTTGATTTGTGGGTGACTTGCTCTTTAAGAACACGACGATGGGCATTGCTAGGATGAGCCGGTAGGCAAATATGATCAAAAAATCTGCTAAGGGTGTGGACGTTTGCTTAAAAGATCAGATGCGTTCAGAAACATAGTCTGTGTCTGGCTTTAAAATGAGCTCAAACTTACGACTTCGTGGTTCTTTTTAAGGTGGATGAGCTCCTCTTTCAGGGCTTCAATCTCACTCTCCAGGTTCATGCGGCTCAGGTTGGTGTCATCGATGAGTTTCCTCAGACCGACGATGTCAGCTTCAACAGACTGGCGGATGGCCAGCTCAGACTCGTATCTGCAAAAACACGAGTCAGCACATTTAGGCACTACATTAGAGCTGCTTATGGACAAGAATAACTCAATCTACCTGTTGTTGTTTCTAATCCAAACAAAACTCATTCATGTAGGTTTTTTTTAAGGATTATTGTTTGGTCAACCTCAGCCCTAGCAGCCAGCTGTGTTTGCAAACACATTTATGTGTTTCCAGCAGCTATGATGCAAGGGTGATGATGTATGAGATTAATTCATCCTACAGCTTCATTCTGTAGTAAACCAGGGTGTGCCCACAGCTGTCTGGCTTCAGGTCTTACTTTACTCTGAAGTCATCAGCAGCCAGGCGGGCGTTGTCGATGCTCAGGACCAGCCGCGCGTTATCGATGGTGGCGTCGAAAATCTAAAAGACAAATTTCAAAAAAGGAGTTTTTCCATAAGTACACCAACAAAAATATGGTAAAAAGCAATAATTTTACCATTTTATGCTCCTAATTAAGACAATTACTAGACTTTTATAGCAATTAATGGTGGCCCAGGTAGCCTAGCTAGGAGAACAGCTGAAAAAAATTAGGAAGAATTCTTATGAAAACACCACAACTATGTCCTAAACCTAGTTATAACTAACTAGGTTTAGCTAGGCTAACAGCGGTTAGCTCCTATTAGCTTAAAAAGCATAAACGGATTCTTGTCAGAGAACACGAGTTAGTGTTTAGATCTAGAACCAAGAACAATTTCATTGACCCCTGGCGCGTGGCGGCGGTATTTGCTTTAGCAGTCCTGCATCCAGGTGACAAACTCCAGCAGCCAATAGGAGGCTGCCAGGCAGGTGCTGAAGAACAGGAGCCATCCTGCCAACATTTGCATTGGTGTGTGTGTGTGTGTGTGTGTGTGTGTGTGTGTGTGTGTGTGTGTAGTCATATGACTTCTTGTGCATGTGCATAATTTTTTTTTGCATGTGCAGTTGACTTACATTTGTTTTTTAGTGAGAAGTGTGTTTTCTCACCATTTCAGCAATTTACTGTATGAAAGAAAACATTAAATAAGACTTGCTTTTTTGACCTTGAGCGGTTTAGATAAAGCATGGCTACTCTGCTGGATAAACAACATTTCAGTGAGTGTTCCCTCTTATGTAACTTTTAGAGATTGATAAGATCATGGGAAATGGTTGGGAAGCTCCCCTTCCTGACAGACTTGCAGAAACTAATGCTGCCTGCTGATCTTGATGCTTCTAAGACATGACTTGTCTTTGTCCACATTTTTCCCAATAAAAATGCAAAAGTAAAAATCTTCAGCTACTAATATTGCTTTGGAAAAGACTCTTGATCTAATCTCTCTAACGAAAAAGAAAGGGATGTCCATCAGGGACCAAAGCTGTAAAAAACCATCCGCTTAATCTGCAAAAGCAATTCATTTACTTTCAGTTAAGTCAGTCAAGCATGGCTTCATGCTGACATGCAATGATATCCTTTCTTCATCAGTTTCTGTTGTGTGAGTACAGAAGTAATGCTATAGGTGATAACTGAGATGTAGTCCTGTAGTCCAAGTACGTCCCTAGAGGAGGAGGAAACTACTGGTTAAATCTATGATTTATGCGGCTCCATGTTCATGGCCTCGCATCACTTTAGTTTTATTTACTACTTCCTGTCTCAATGACCCCCTGATGCTCCAACATTCCTCCACCATACTGCTTCTGGTTCAGTCCAGGCCCCCCGGGGGCCCGTAGCGTAGAGGAACTCACAAACACGACAAAGCCTTAAATGTGTTACGTTTAACATATTTGTCACAAAAACTCCTTTGCTGCGTATTCAGTGATCCTGTTAAGTCAACTTTTCTGACCTTTCTGGTTTCAGCTCAACAGCAGCTTCCTTCTGTTCAGACCTTACTAAGTACTTGCACATTCCCCCTCCATCCTTCTCACCTTCTTCCTCAGGTCATCCACGATGCCCTGATACTTGCTGTAGTCTCTGAAGTCCGGTCCGCTCTTTTCCAGGGCTTCCTTGATCTGGATCTCCAGCTTGTGGTTGGCCGTCTCCAGGCTCCTCACTGTCTCCAGGTAATTGGCCAGCCGATCGTTCAGGTTCTGCATGGCAAACTTCTCATTGCCCATGATGTCTGCGCTGTTTCCGCTCACCTGGATGCTGTTGGAGAATCCCCCCGCTCCTGCTGCTCCGAGTCCCATCCCAGCTCCCAGAGAGCGGACGGCGGAGACGCTGATGCGGGAGCCACCGGCCCCACCGTGAATGGATGGGGCCTTGTAGAGAGGGGCAGAGGTGCGTGTGATTGACACGGCAGGAGCCCTGCTGCTACTAGAAGAGCGCATGGAGTATGTAGTTTGCCTGGAGGTTTGCATGGTTGCTGGAGACTCAGTCAGACACTCTGTGAGGTGAAGGGAAGAAAACACAAGAGGAGCAGGCAGAGACTGGAGCTCAGACACAAGGCAGGAGGAGAAGGGAGGCTTTTTGGACTATTTAAACCTTATGGGCCTTCAGGTCCGCCCCTTAAGCCACTTCCCCCTTTTTACTCTGTCACCTCCCTTTTTTCCACCCATGAGCAGCTTACAGCATGCCTTTGTCCTCCCTCCCTCCATCCTAAATTACAAAGTTTTTATTAAGGTGGAGATTTGGGGGTTTTGAAAACATATTTTATTAAAAATGATTCATTAGGTTATAAGGGAATTTAAACTTTGCTTATTTTTAACAAAACAAACATCTGAAGCAGCTTAAACCAGTTTTAAAGTAAACAGAAACAACAGCAGCAACGTACTCGCTACACGTGACTTTAGCCACACTAAAAACCTTACAATCTCCTCCCTAATAATCAGAACTTGATCACCTAATTCCATCACCTGTGATGGATAGGATGAGGTCACGTCTCACAGTTCATGTGACTGGAACAGCTGTTTTGGATGAGACGCACGATTATACTCAGAGTGATCGTTATCAACTGGTTTCCCCACATCAAAAATGACGCACCGTGGCTGTAAAACAAGCGTCTGCTGTTAAAACATCTGGTTTGTTCAGTTCTGAGGCCGGTATTGACACCTGGTAGTAAAAAGCAGAGTCAGATGTGTGTATTTGAAGCGATATATGGTTCCAGATGCTATGCACGCTGTTTGTTATCTGTCCTGCACAGCCGGATGTGTGTCTGATTGCCTGCCCCCCCCCAACTGTAGAGGATATGGTCAAACAAAGGAACAATTCCTGTACCTAGCTAGCAGCTACAGGAACAATGACCTTCTCCACCAGCAAACATATTTCAGAAGGTCCCCTGCTGATTTTCTAAACCCAAGCACATTCCACAGATTCTCTCTACTTTGCTCAAAAACATTGAAATTGCACCATTTTTGTTTCTTTTCAGTTTTCTTTGGTTACAAGTTACATAACACGTCTGTTGTCGTTTTAAAATCCACGTTTCCACACAAAAATCCAAGAAGCAACAATTCTTTGGAAACAAGTGATGAGCATCAACTTGTCCTGAGATAATAAGTTACGACACAAAGGGCTCTACGGTTTAGCTTGGTTGTTCTGGGGTTTGCTTTCACAAGAAGGAACAAGCAGTAAAAAATTAAAGAGTTCCTGATGAAAAAGGAATGAGAAATTAGAGATTAAACCAGACAAAAGCAACAATATGACTTCTACAGTTAATCTTCTCTTAACATTTGCAAATAAAAGAAAAAAGCAGGATCTGATGCATTCAGTCTGGTCCTCGATCGTGGCGGCCACACCTTCCTAAAGAAAACAAACTAAGTCACAAGTGTTGATGCAGGTGTAAAAAAGAGATTCAGTCAAGCTAAATGATAGCCGTTAGCCTTTATGCTTTTCTTGGAAAACTAAAGTCACTGTCAGCACTTGAATTACCTTTAGTATAAGTAATGAATCCTAAGCTTCTGTAAAATAAATATAACAGACATCATAACAAAGTTTTTAAAAGATAATAGAGGAAGCAGCATGCTTGCTAGCATGCTAGCTCTGACGCTAACCTACACTCATGCTAACTACAGATATTTCTCATTTACAATCATTTTATTTCCTCAGAATTGTTTAAAATCAGAATTATCACTCTGGATGTAGTGATGGAATGTAACACAATACAAGTACTTAGTTACTTGACTCAAGTACCAATATTTCTGTGGGCTATTCTTTACTAAGTAGTCTTGAGGTCTACTTTATACTTATGCACCCCAACAATTTAAAACAATTATCTGTGGTTTCTACTCCATTACATTTTCTAAAAGAGTAAAAGTACTTTAATTAGCATTTTGTCTGAGACCACATTTCTACACACACAACAAATATTTAAATGTTAGCAGAATATTTTTACTTTTTACATTGGAAATGGCATATTTAAATACATTTACTCAAGATAAATGTTCTACCTTTTAAAAGTATTTATTTAACTTCTTCATATGTTTTTTAATTTAAGTTAAACTTTTAGATTCTGTATTTTCTTTTTAATTATTACCCTACATGATGATTTTAGTCACGTGTCTGTGAAACATTTTATTTACATTATAGTTGGACAACAACAAAATATTGATGCAAATCTGAATTTCTTGTGCTGACTGTATTCATTTTTGAATGTGGCTTATCTCTATGATCAGTTTGGCTTTTAGTTCGTGTTTATAAATATTTCTGACATCTAAAAGTAGAAATATTTGGAAAGTGAGGAAACTTAATGTGATTTATTCATTTGGTTTGGGAGAGTGTGTGTAATTGGATTAATTCTCATTAATGCTCTGCAGCTTCTACAAAAACACGTCTTAAATTCATCATAAGATGAACTCACGTGGCTTAGGGATAGATGATCTTTTCCCCACTCTCTCTTTTCACTTTACAGCACCATTAGTTAAAGATTATTTCACCCAGATAAAACAATCCCTTCAGGTTGAGAGATTAGATCAAATCTTTGTTAAATAATAATTGAATTTAAATCCTTGAGGTGTGGAAAGTCACAAGACTGTCAGCTAAATCAAAAATCTTTTCACCTACACTTTTTTTGCATAGCAAAAGCTCTTATTTAGTTTCAAAGGTTACTTCTGAGTTAACGCAATCAGATGCTGCAGAGTTTGGCTAATCTGATTATGTGTTGAAACTCTTCTCTGCCAGTTCTGGCTCGGTCTGTTCAGGAGAACTGAGGAGTTGTTGTTCAGCTTGGGCCATCCTTCTTTCTGGTCTGACCTCAGTGGTCAGAACTCCCACAAAATGTGCTAAACCAGAGGAGGCCTGTCAGAAGCAAAGCATGAGCACTGAGAAGTCTTATTACAGTTCAGGCTGAAGGGATTGTCAAGTTTCTGATCTTGGGTGAGAAACGGGTCGACCTCTTGGGCATTTATCTCTCAACAGCTCGTTGGTTAGCAGAACGGCTCAGTTTGATTTACTCAACTACAAATGCGTTTGATGGTTTGGTATCGCTGCCATCTATGATTTAAGAGGGACATGCATTGTCCTTGTTATGAGGACACAAAGAAGCTCATGATGACTCACTGGAGATGGTGGCCACACACAGATGTTAAACACGTGGGTGCAAGCAATTTACAGGTGCGTGTGGAACATTCCAGCCAGGTGCGACGTCGCCGAATCACCCGATGTCGCGGAAACGTGTGCGTTGGCATTCCAGGATGTGTGCGAGAGCCCGACAAAATCAGACGTGCAGTCAGAGGGTAGCTTTTAGATTGTTCACACGATTAAAGGGTTTGTTCCTGGAAGCTGGATGTTATTATTGTTATGTTATCTGCTGGGGGACACAAAAGGCTGCGGGTGCCAAAAAGCAGACAAAAGCACTTTTAAAGAGTTGATATAAAGAGGCTTTTTTTTTTGCAGAAATGAAAAAGAAAGTTGGATATTTGTCAAACTATCAACAGCTGTTAATACAGTTTAGCATGCGGCTTTCTCTGATTAAATCAGGGTGTTGACTTTTTCCTGAAAGGCCTGGACAGATCTGAGAGAGGTCAAAGGTCAGCGGTCTGCTTGTTGTCAGGGCACGACAGCGAGTATGTGGTCTTCAGGGTGGAGTGCTGAGGAAAAATATGACAAATATGTGAAAAACAGGGTGTGATAATCCTGTTACATGATGCAGAGTAATTTTATAAATACATCAAGAACGAGTGAAATCTAAGTAGCAAAATCAATGGGAATGAATCAGATTAGCTGCATTTGGTTTCTTAAAAAAACAATTCAAATCAATCAATCAGAGATACTTTATTAATCCCAGAGGGAAATTAGAGTTTCAGTACACACAATTCAGAGATCAGACATACATGGGCAAGACACATGGCAAGAATTGGTGACTGTGGTCATTCGCAACCCTGAGTCGCGCTACCTTAATAGAGATAAGAGGGTTACATGAGGGTTGGTTCAGGTTCAGAGTTACCCTCCAGCAGGAGGGCAGCTGTGCTCTGCAAAAAAAACCCACCTCAAACAGATATGCAACAGACTTCAGACAACACAACATAAGTGTCCACTAGGTGGGTGGTGGGTTGGGACTATCCACACTTCAGCTCCTGCGGCCACGATAAGCAGCGCATGTCACCTCAGTGTGGATAGGGGGGGAGCATTGAGGGTTGGAGGGTTGCAGTGACCCTGGAACGTTTCAGCTGCCTTCCCGCAGTCCCGCCCAGGCTGGGAAAGGAGACAGAGTTGAGTTGCCATAGTGACGGCACATTCCACATATCTTCAGAGTGGGGAGTTTTCGTTGTAGCCTTGCAGGCTCAAGGGCACCAGATTCCGATTAGAAATTGTTTTGGGGCCAGTCAGAGATAATTTCCTCTCTGTCTTACAGTTTGTTGGTCCTCAACCTCTCGAAATCCCAATAATTGACATTAAAATATCCCAATCCGTGCTGATTCGTCCACTCTCTCCTTGATGGCATCCATCTTTGTGCCAATGAATGAATCTCGGCCAAAGTCCCAAGCTTACGATTCATCTCTAAAATTATGTGAGTCTGTGAATTCACAGCGCGGTGCAAACCATCTCTGAGCTCCGGGATCAGGCCAATATTCCTCGACAGTTCGTTAATTTTCCGGTAAGCCAGGTAGCCTCCAAGGCAAATGAGCAGGAAACCTGACACCAACACCACGAATATCCACATGTCTTCAGAGTCCTCCACAGACAGCTGAGAAAGACAGATCAAGTTCCACTGTTTCCAGAAGTCCATGATGTGTTCAACTGGGTCTGTCCCGGCAGGACATCCGGGAGCCCCTTCTCCCGTTCTCATCGTTGAAAAAATTGTATCAATCACATTGAGTGACCAACTGACGAGATCCATTTTAGTGAATTTCAGTTTCCAGTTTCCAGAAAAATGCAGAAGCAGCCGTGCACCCAGCACACATAAACAGACAAAGGCCTTGAGGATAAGATATGGAGGAGAGGAGAATAAAAGCGTCTGCACCCTCCAATACTTCCCTTTAATTTAAGACTTTAAAATGTGGGGCCGCTAGCTGGGGTTTCTTTATAGC